TTTAACCACTCTTCCCAGTCTAAAGGCGGTAACAATTTTGTAGTCCTTCTCTTCTGCTAGACCCCAGAATTTAGATATTTCTGCTGTCAAAAAACCAATCAAATCTTCTTTCTCAAATTCTGGGATATTCCTAAGCCTAAGATTGCTTTCCCGGTTTTTCAATTCCGCCATGGACAGATAGGCTTGCTGTTCATTGATCTGTCTGCCCAGTGGTCTTACTTCCCCTCTTAATTCCTCAATTTTCTTCTTATTTTGTTCCGCTTTTAAATTTACTTCTTCGACCAATTTACGATTCTCTGTTGTTGTTGTTTGTATATTACCAATGGCCTGTGTATTTTGAGAAACTTGGTCGGTCAGCTTGTTAATTGAAGCTGTCACTTGATCAAATCTAGCCGCTTGTTCATCAGCTTTCTTGTTTAAGGCAGCCAACTGGTCTAGTATTTCTTTAGAAACTGGGTCTAACCCTCCTGCAGCCATATCCCCAAAGGCTGGCTGTTGAAGCTGACCTTCTTGCAGGCCTGTAACAATTGGGACCGATGATCTACGTGGCTGCACAGGCAAAGTTAATTGCAACAGCTCAGTTTGTTTTGCTTTTTTGGCAGCCCTTGTTTTTGGTGCGCCACTCATTCCACAGCTGTCCAGGTGCCAAGGTCAAATTGTAAATCCCATGGGAAAAGCAATCCAAAATGTAAACATCCAACCACAAAATTTTCAAAACAACCAGCAGTTCTCAGAGACTAGCAATTCCACAATCCAGTAGGGGGAGCTCCCCAAAGGTTAACAAAGGAACAAAGGAAAGGGGAAGGAAAAAAAAGTAAAAATTTCCACCATTAAGTCCCCAATAAGTAGTCCGGTAAAAACTCAGTAAAAAACAGAGCAAAGGAGAGAACCTTCAAAATTCAGTTTAAACTGCCAAGAGTGAAAGTTCTTAACAGTGGTGCATGCAACAGTTCCTTTTTTGTAACTTACAGAGAAGCCCCAAAGTAACTTTAAAACTTTGTGTACAGTTACCGCAGTCTGATGGTTCTTTTGTATCCAGGCAGCCCGGGGGCTGGATTTCAAAGCTTTATAATCCACAAAAAAGGGGGAAGAGAAATTACGATTTATATCCACTTATAAAAATACAGTTTTAACTTTTAAATAATCCAATCCGAATTTGCCGGGTAAATTCCAACTTCTTTTAAAGTCCCTGTCAGCGCTTCAGCTTTGACAGCTCTTTGCTTGCCACTTTAAGCAGGGTCAGGAGACGGACTTCCTTTTTAGCGTCTCCCGCTTTCAGCCAAATTTCAGGAATTTAGTCTCAAAGATCACAGGTCTCTTACTCACGAGTATGTTGTTTTCAATCAAATCCTCAAGGAAGAAAGGTCAGCGCTCATCTGCAACAGCCGCGCGGCTTCACTTCCGCGGAAAGAGCGATGGACTCACAGCACCGCTACCCCCTCCACGTTCCGGAGCCCCTTACGGGGTCCCTTCTGCGTTTCCGAGGTCGCTCTTGATGCCCGCCGAGTCCCACGGCCACGGGCTCACTCTACCCGTGGTTTTTCTGAATGGGTCGTCGCTGTGCCGCAGCGCACGACCCTTTTCCGCGGAGCCCCTCTTCAGCAGCTGAGGAGGACCGCCATTGCCGTTTCGCGCCGCCTCCGGAAGACCGGGCCACCTTCAAAGGTAGCCCCACGTAGAGCGCATGGCAGTAGTCCAAGCGGGAGATAACCAGAACATGCACCACTCTGGTGAGACAGTCTGCGGGCAGGGAGGGTCTCATCCTGTGTACCAGATGAGAGCTGGTAGACAGCTGCCCTGGACACAGAATTGACCTTCGCCTCCATGGACAGCTTTGGTGACAGTGTGCAACAACAGAATATTTTTGTTCTTTCTGCCTGAGAGGTTCAAATTGCAATTTGACTCCCCTATCACCTGGGGGCTATTTATATTCTGCCTGTAGGAACTGCTCTTTGTCTTGAGTAAGCACCAGCTTCACAAAGCACCCCGACTTGCTCAGAAACATGAAGCCTGAAGCATTTTTTTTTAAAGGCTAGTTCGGCAGCATTTGAAATACTGGTTTGTCCCTGTAAAGACGTCTCCTTGCTCCTCTGTCTGCAGTTTGCTGCAATTTTCTCTTGGAGCCCACGATTCTTGTTAAGTTGTTGCAAAGGTACCATTGCAATGAGACATCCTTTACCTGGGGAACTCCCTGCCACAGGAGGTGGAGGTGGCGACTCGCATAGGATCAGATAAAACTATGAGGGATAAGGCTATTGTCAAATAGCTTTTTTAAGGACATTATACAGGCGTGTGTGCTTGTTGACATAATGTTTGCCCTCCCTGTGGCCGAAACAGACTCTCTGAGAGGCTTGCAAACATCATTTTTAAGACTGCCCCTGCCCTCAGGCTCAGCATCTAAAAAAAAAGACATCAGAAGAAAATAACAAGTGCAGACAACTGCTGGAGATGTGGAAGTAAAAATGCGAACTTAGTACATACGATGATTAACTGCCCGATGATAAGATCATTTTGGTAGGAGGTGAGGATATATATATAGCAAGAGTAATAAAAAGAAATTGTTATTTAGGGAATTTGAATTTAATTCTAAATTATATACCGGAAACGTGGGAGATTACAAGGGGTAAAAAAAAAAAAGGATGTGCTGTGCCATATTAGAAGCAAAAAAACTTTTTTTGATGAATTGGAATTGGAAGAGCCGCAAAAAGATTCCATTGAGCACATGGATTGACAATATAGACAGACTAGCTACATATGAGTGAACTGCATATCGACGCTGTCAGAGCTGCCCGAGGTCCCAGCTCACAAAGGACCAACGCCAGTTCGTTGTGATATACAAAAGTCTTTATTGAAGTTCAGTTTCGCTTTCACAGCCGCAGCGCGCAGCTCTACGTCTGAAACTCTAGACCGCTGAAGCTCCGTCTGAATCTCCTCCCCCCAGACACCAGTTTAAGACTCTAGCCTTGCTCCACCTCTTCCTTTGTTCTTTCCTCCTCTGGTTCCGCCTGTCCGCTGGGGTCTTCCCCTTCCTAGACTCTTCTGACCCTGAGCCCCCTGAGTCTTCCCCCTGCCTCCGGCGGGCTTTAGGACCTGGTTCCCAATCCGGGTTTTCTGCTGTCCCGCGCGCCTGTACATTTGAACTTGGCGCGCGCGCCCAGCCGGCCACCTTCCTCCTGACCGTTACACTGCTCCTGTCACTGCTTCCCCCTTCGGGGAGGCTAGCTGGATCTGACCTCCCCTCCGTTCCCCCACTCTCCGATAGAGGCGTGGTCAGCCCTGACTCATCTTCTCTCCCTGCTGGAGGAGACGCTGGCCCTGACACATGGGACTCTTCCCCCCGCTACGCTCTGGTGGGGAAGCTGGTCCTGCTCTCCCGCTGCTGCTTTGGGAGTCCCCGCTGGCCCCTTGTTTCTGGTGCGTCCCCCCTGGGACCCCCTTGCCCTGACCATCGGCGCCCCCTTCTGGGAATCTTCTGATTCACTGG